TTAAAACTTGATAACCATGTATGAATGCATTTTAGTCATTTTAACTGAACTTCAGACTGGTGGTGGTGCTTTTTTGGTCATTCAGTGTTTCTGTAAAAAAAAAAAAATTGGGGAAAAGCTAACAAAAATGCTGATTAGATAATAATGATACAAATTCTACAATATAAAACGCACCAAGGTTTAATGAGCTACTGGATTCATGAATATTAATCGGGTTGGTGTGCGTTCGCTCGAACTGATTTGCTGAAATCAAAACAGGGACGATAATAGGTGAGCGCCAGCCAATGAGATTGCCGTTTGTGCATTAGTTCCGCCCACTACCGGAGAAACCGGCAGTTCTTAAAAGCGGAAGAATTCCAAAGGAACTCTGTTATTTTTACCACAAAGAATATCGTTTACATGTAGCGCGCATAAGTAGCGCGTCAATTCTCTCTCTCCCTCTCTCGCTGCGTGTGTGTGAAACAAAGCGACGGCGAGTCGTGCGCCTTCACACTAGAGTTTACAGTACGTTGTGCGTTGCACGTCCATTAAGATGAACTGAAAAACAGCACAGATCGCTTGACGGAGAGTGAAACTCTGTTGCGCTCAGTCAGAGAGTGTTCGGCGAGTGAAAATATATCCGAGCTAAACTTATACTTAGCCTCCAACTCACACACTGGCGAGTAAAATCTGAGAATTTATTAGCAATTGGCTAATATTACACATAATTTAGTCACCCAGAGTGAAGATTTAGTCGCATATGCGAGTGATTTACTCGCAATGTAGAGGGTTGCCCATACTCGGAATTAGTTTATCCCATCCAAAAGGCACACACACAGCAGTGAACACACACACACAGTGTGATTTCTTGATTGATTGATCTTAAAATACAGGTGCATCTCAATACTCTCCATGCCACGCCGCACTGATGCAGTAATTCATGCAAAAGGAGCCCCTACCAAGTATTGAGTACATGTACAGTAAGTGAACATACTTTCCAGAAGGCCAACAATTCACTAAAAAATTTTTTTTATTGGTCTTATGAAGTATTCTAATTTGTTGAGATAGTGAATTGGTGGGTTTTTGTTAAATGTGAGCCAAAATCATCACAATTAAAAGAACCAAAGACTTAAACTACTTCAGTCTGTGTGCATTGAATTGATTTAATACAGAGTTTCACAATTTGAGTTGAATTACTGAAATAAATGAACTTTTCCACGGCATTCTAATTTATTGAGATGCACCTGTATGTCGGTGCCCTTGTTTTGTCTCAAGATGCACAACAGTAATGTTTTTTTTTCAAAGGCATGTTTATAAATATTATTTAAATGTCCTAATTAAACTAAGGCCTAATCCTGTGAAACCAGGCCTTAGAGCTGCTTGAAAGAATTTAAATAAAATCTTTAAATATTTTTTTAAAAATGCCACATTACTACATATTTAATTATTAAATATTACATTATTACGTTAACATAAAATATGAACAATAAGGTTAAACTGTCAATTCAATTGATAAAAAAATCTATTAGCCTGTAATACGCAATAATAAATCATAAAACAGGCTGTAGCTGCCACAATATGTTTTGCTCTATTGTAAATTTAAAAAAAGTGACGTGACATGTGGCCAAGTATGGTGACCCATACTAGGAATTAGTGCTCTGCATTTAACCCATCCTTAGTGCACACACACAGCAGTGAACACACATCCGGAGCAGTGGGCAGCCATTTTTTGCTGCGGCGCCCGGGGAGCAGTTGGGGGTTCGGTGCCTTGCTCAAGGGCACCTCAGTCGTGGTATTGAAGGTGGAAGAGAGCGCTATACATTCACTCCCCCCACCTACAATCCCTGCCGGTACGAGACTCGAACCTGCAACCTTTTTTTGGGGGTACGAGTCTGACTCTCTAACCATTAGGCCACGACTTCCCCTGGTCTGATCTATATAATGATGCAATTACTAAATTTGGTAATGGGAGAGTAAAAATATTTTTAAAACGCACACCGTTCAAACTAGGCTGCTTATGTTGAAGTGTTTGGGATGTGGCTTTTAATGATGAGACCTTTTTTGTAATCAGGCTTTCAAAAAGTATATAACAATTTGGATATAGATTTATCGGCCAACATATCGGTTATCGGCTTTCAAAAATAAAGAATAATCGGTTATCGGTATTGGCCAAAATTTTCATATCGGTGCATCCCTACATATAATCTGTCTTTACAGGACCAAGTTTGATTTTATAATGACCTTTTTTTCTTGGGGAAGCGAAAACGTGATCTTTTATAAAGTTATTGATTTCAGTCGGATTCTTGTTTAGCTAAAAACATCGATTCACATGCATAATTTTATTATTTTTACCATTGGGAACCCTTTACAAGGTTCAGTTTATTAACACTAGGTAATGCATAATATATCATAAACAAACAAAAGGTTTTACCTAGATTAATGATCATTTATGTTGTTAATTAATGTTTGTATATGTAGAAATGTTAACCAAGAGAAATGCTGTAAATATAGTGTTTGTTGTTATGTTAGCTATTTTTACAAACTAATGTTAACAACATACAGGACCTTGGATTAAAGTGTACCATTTCAGTCAGTAATTGTTGTAAAAACATTGGTGAGGGCAAAAGTGCAGAATCAGTGCACTATTTTCAGCATTTAATGATCATGAACATTAAAAAGAGACAATAGAAGAGTCGAGTTGAGCCAGGGTCATTGAGCCAGTGTGAAACCGATGCTGCCAGTGAAGTCATGGGGTTAATACTGTCCTCTTGAACTCTAGAAAGTGAAAGTTATATGGTGGCTTAATTTTGTCATATCCAAACAGACCCGGGTCAGCAAAATCACCAGTTTTATTTTTACTGTAGCCGATACAGTGGTTAAAAATGCTGTAAATCAAGCCAGCACAACATAACATAAATATCCTCTCAGCACTGTGACCGGTAAAAAATATCCGACAGCAGTACGTGTCAAATCAATTAGCCATCATGCTCGAGTCTGATTTCATGGTGAGGCATGTAAACGGTGCTGTATAACAGAGTGATGGATCATGATACAGGCTTCTTTGTTATCACTATCAGAGTCATGTGATGAGGGGGGCTGGTGTGACCTAACGGACCGACCACACGTGATGGAAACAGGCTGAAATAGGGACTGCTTTGTGCTGGTTAGTCCCTGGAGGGACCAGTGCTCCCTGAGCTGAGCCTGTCACCAGCTCAATCTGTGAGGGCTGTGCCATGACTAAACCTAGACATGTTGACACCAGACGTACACGGCTGACAAGTACAGACCTCTAAGTGTCCCCCAGTACCAGATGAGACCACCTCCAAGACCTAGAGCTCATCACAACCTTATTTTCAAAAATGCTTGGGTGTCACAACAACAAAAAGCTAGTAATACATTTACTATTAATCTAACATTTAATTATATAAATATCAGATTAATTGTTTATAATATTTGAACTTTTATTATTATTGATGTAATGTAAAAAAAAAATCAATAATAATGAATAATAAATATGATGAGTTAAAACAAAAGAAACACAAAACTAATAATATATTAATAATAATCTAATATTAAATAAAATGTATATTTATATACACATATTATAACTTCTATAATCTATATGTGTGTGTCTTGGGTGGGTTAATAAGAACTCCAAAAGAACACAAAAACCCATTAATATATTAATTTGAGAATTTTTTTTTTTTTTTTTTTTAATGTAGTAATAATTGTAATACATTTAAATTATTATATATGAAGTAATATAGCTGTTATTACACTAATTCATATTTGAACTTTTATTATTATTGATGTAATGTAAACAATCTATAATGATCTTCAGAGTTAAAACAAAAAAAAAACTAATAATATATTAATAATCTAATATTAAATAAAAATGTATGTTTATATACACATATTATAACTTATAAAATCTAAATGTGTGTGCGTCTTGGGAGGGTTAATAAGAACTCCAAAAGAACACAAAAACCCATTAATATATTAATTTTAGAATTTATTCAAAAAAAAATTTATTTAGTAATAATTATAATACATTTAAATTATTATATATGAAGTAATATAGCTATTATTATACTAATTAATATTCTAATTATCAAAAAAGACTTTTTTGGGGAGGTAAAATAAACATTGGTATATTGTAAATGCATAATAATAATATTTTAACATTATTATTATCATTATATTAATGTCGTAATGTAATTAAAATATACTACTGCTAATAATAATAATAACAAATTGTCTTGGAGTGTTAATAAAAATACCAAAAGAAACAACAAAACATTATTACTATATTAGATAATCTAATATTAGATTACTATTATATTTTAAATACATTTAAACAAAAAAAAAACTAATAATATATTAATAATCTAATATTAAATAAAAATGTATGTTTATATACACATATTATAACTTATAAAATCTAAATGTGTGTGCGTCTTGGGAGGGTTAATAAGAACTCCAAAAGAACACAAAAACCCATTAATATATTAATTTTAGAATTTATTCAAAAAAAATTTATTTAGTAATAATTATAATACATTTAAATTATTATATATGAAGTAATATAGCTATTATTATACTAATTAATATTCTAATGATCAAAAAAGACTTTTTTGGGAGGTAAAATAAACATTGGTATATTGTAAATGCATAATAATATTTTAACATTATTATTATCATTATATTAATGTCATAATGTAATTAAAATATACTACTGCTAATAATAATAATAACAAATTGTCTTGGAGTGTTAATAAAAATACCAAAAGAAACAACAAAACATTATTACTATATTAGATAATCTAATATTAGATTACTATTATATTTTAAATACATTTATAATAATTTAAATATTACTAATAACCATCAAACTAATTTTCACTTCCAGTATGAGTAGGCCTATAGGAACACGCATTGTTTCAATTTAAACCATCACACTGAATATCTGACAAATACTAGCGGGACAGAAATTAGACTACTTTCACGACTGAACTTTGTTGACATTCTGTATAGAATCATTGTTTTCTGTAAACATCCCGATATAATAGTTTTGTTCCCCTCTTTGCTGTAGAAGCCTGATGTGCTGGAGGAATAGGAGGACAGAGGGGGAACAGCCGGATATGAAGCTACGCCAGAAGGTACGACACACCAATGGAGCTGAGGAGCAACACCCCGAGATCTCCCTCACAGTGCCGTCATGGGGTGCAGAGTAGACGACAGAAGAGAGACACTTACAAACCCATCGACCTCAAATAATACTGACAAGAATCCTGTAAGAAAACGACTAACAATAACAGAGAGGAAACACGTTCAGCAAGAGAGAATGAAATGGCTACCAAAGGCTCAGTCCCGGCTGTGTCCTGACAGCCAGATTTCATCCTCAATAATCCCTGCCCAATCCCCAGCAGCACATAATCAGACACACAAGACAGAGTCTTCACGTGCACTCGTGCTGTTGCACATGCACTAGGCCTGGAGACTGACATCCCATTCAGTGTTCAGTTCGTTGGGAGGATTTCATAATGAAAATATTCCTAGGCATTCCTGTATTCATCAACAATGAATGAAAAGAGGATCATGCATCAAGGACACTCCAGTTTCTGTGGTACCAACCCCCCCCCCCAAAAATGAATGCAGAACTTATCTGAGGCACAAAGTGCAATTCAATGAACTGAAGATCAAGAGTATGGAGATGGAGAAAGAATTTTCCCCAAAGGAAATTCAGATTTCTCTCCCCTAACTCGCAACACTCCCACTGGTGTGAAATCTCACAGTTCCCCCTGGACATCACCTGCTTGTTCTTTTTGTATGAAGTCTGCACTGGGCTGTTAGGCTGTGCAGAATGTAGTGTTCATTTGTGTATGAAGAGGATAGGATTGCAATTTGAATAGTTAAATGACCGGAACATCTCATCTAAAACCAAAACACACAATCATTCTTTATGGATACAGGTGTTTTGTGCTCTAGGAGAAATGCTAGATGATTATCATTTTGTTAAAGGGGACATCAGATGCCCATTTTTCACAAGTTGGTATGATACTATATGGTATATAGATACTTTGTCAAAAAACAGCTACACCTAACCGTTTCGGTGCATGTCTCTTTAAAGGGTTAGTTCACCCAAAATTAAAATTCTGTCATTAATTACTCACCCTCGTGTTGTTCCAAACCCGTAAGACCTTCGTTCATCTTCGGAACACAATTTAAGATATTTCTGATGAAATCTGAGGGCTCTCTGACCGTCCCATAGACAGCAAGGTAACCTCCACGTTCAAGGTCCAGAAAAGTACCAAGAGGACCGGACAAAGTAATCCGTGTGACATCAGTGGTTCAACTGTAAAGTTACGAAGCTACGAGAATACTTTTTTGGACGCGCGTTCACGACAGTACCATGACGCGAGCGTATGGCGGCGCCGGCGCTGACCCAGATCCGGCGTGATGACGTCATTACGCCGGATCTGGGTCAGCGCCGCCACACGCATGGTACTGTCGTGAACGCGCATCCACAAGTGACTCAGTAGAGACGAAAATGTGGAATAAAGTCGTTATTTTGTTTTCTTTGCGCAAAAAAAGTATTCTCGTAGCTTCGTAACTTTACTTGAACCACTGATGTCACTACTTTGTCAATCATCTTGGTACTTTTCTGGACCCTGACCGTGGTAGTTACCTTGCTGTCTGAGTAATTAATGACAGAATTATCATTTTGGGTGAACTACCCCTTTAAATGCTAATGAGCTCTGTTCACCCCGCCCCTCTCTTCTGTGGAAAAGGAAAGGTGATTCTCAAATAATCACAAATATAAAGTGTGGGACTTACTTCTGCTTGAGGTGCAGCTGGATTATGAACAGTGGGTACTGGTCCATCCTTGAGTTTGAACTTTTTAGCAAAACCTGCCTTGAATTGTCCCTCATTCAGAAAGCAGTCTGAAGTAAAATGATTTGCACAGACATAAATTAATTTAGGTGTATTCATTGGCGTGTTACCATAAAAATAAAAAAAATCCACTGCGGCCTCAGCGGCTCTGATGTCGGGAGGAAATGATCTCTTATGTTCACTTTTACATCCAACTACAAAACACCTGCATTGCTTTCGAGTCTGTTTTTCGCTTCAGCTGCTCAAGCGTGGAGAAAAGGGTGGACAGCGTACAACTGGCTGAGGGCGGAGATATGCTAATAATACAGGACAATCCGTCAGCGGTCATGGCTTGTACAATATGACGTCATATTGCTCAGAAAATCAAAACTCTTGATTATTGAGATTGTTTAGGTTTTTTAGGGATTAAAAAAGCAGTGAATGGATTTTTATCATTGTAGGGTGGTTGTGTCCACACACTGCTAAGACTCGTGCAAACGCCATGTAAAAGTGAATTTTGCATCAGATGTCCCCTTTAACATTTTGTCATTTTAAACATTTACTCAAGTTATGTGAACCATCAGATTTAATAAATGAACAAATCTGTTATTTATTAATAAAACTTGTACATACATTTTTTGTTGTAAACACTAGTTTTCTTGTTTTATTATTCTTATTTAATGACATATAAAATAAATCAAATACCTTATTTAGGTATTTCTACTGTAGCCCGCTTTGATACATTGGCTATTTTTTTTTTATAAATGTACAATTGTTAAACTACAATCCATACCACAGTTTTGTCACAATATTTGGCAGGCTGTGTATACTTTATGTATAATAATAAGAATTATTATACATAATTATAGGGATCCAAATGGGAAAACTGAGCATTTTGGTGTTTCATACATCACAGACAAAAATGGCAGATTGATAATGGATTTTGTTGTTTGTTTATATACTGACATGCAAAACAGCAAGTAAAAGATGAATGCTACAGGAGGGAGTTACATATCCTGAAGGTACACACAAGTCCACCATAGTAAGGTCAGGGATCTCACATGTTAGAAGAGTCATTCAGAGTGACTTCATAGCCGGATTACATGTGAATTCAGTCTTTTGCTACAGCCGGTTTAAGGTTCTGCACCTCAAACCACGATTGCCACGAAGCCCATAAGGCTCATTTGCTAGCTGAAACTCCACATGAATAGTGCAAATCTCCTTAATTCACATTTAAGTTCTTAATAGCAGTTTTATATATTTTTTCCTTCTACAAATCACACTTTCATGGGCAGACACAGAATCAGAGTCTGCCACAGCATCAATTAGAGCACAAACCCTCCTGCTCTCCATCTTTCTTTTCCCTTAAGTTTTCAGACCCCCTGCATGACATCTTAGGAGGGGTCATGGGTGTTCTGATGGATCAATGTGCAAGAAAAGTGGAGGTATGGAGCGCAGGGAGACGTGATTTAAGGTTTGGGAGGCAGGGTCAAGCGTGGTCCTCCATGGGGAAGACAAGGCGTGTGCCTCGGCTCAAGAGCTCATGTTCACGCGTGTCCAGTTCTCGCTCCAGAGCATCCTCCGATGTGCTGTCGCTGCGTTTGCCGTTCACACCCCAGCTTCCGCCAGATCCTTCAGGCCCGGAGGAGGATGAGGCCCCGTTGGCTGTGATGGCTGTGTCGCCATAGGTCAGCGTCAGATCTCCTTCGTTCAGGATGAGGTCTGAGTCATTGTCTTGCAGCGGCTCGTGGTTCTGCGGAGCACAGTGACAAGTCGGACATGAAGGGGGACATCAAGTCGGACACACACACAGTATTCATGCTCAGCACAAAGGTTCATGTGGGACACTGTGGAGTCACAAAAAGACAGGATAAATAGAGAAATACACTTAGATGTCCTTATGCAAGAGAAAAATCACTTACCTGTGTGTAATGCAGCCTTCAAGTGCAGTTGGGAATATCATAGTTAAAAATTATGTGACACTTTATACCAACAAAGTCTCAATATTCATAAATTAAATCAATATTCTCAATATATATACTCAATATTCTTAGTGATATCCAAATGGAAAAATTGTTATATTATAATAGGCATGCATATGGTAGTAAATACTTTTGCCAAGTTATTTCAATGCCAGTAGTGTATTTTAACAAAATTAATTTGTTTTAGACTACAGTACTGATTAATTCTGACAAACCTTAAGGTTGCAACATGCTGAATTAGTGGTCTAGAAAAAAAGACGCAAGAGTATTTGTTGCTATTTGTATAAGGGAAAAGATAAACATTTAAGAAAATCACACAGCGTCTCCACGACATGGTGGCGGCGGCAACAACAATACTACAGCGAGAATAAAAGTTACGCCTTCTTTCTTTGCGTGAACATTTGGGCGGCGTTATGCAAATCTTTCCACATCGTGATGTAGACATGTGGGGGCGTGTTAGAACGAGCCGTTTTAGGGGGGCGTGGCTGACTCTTAACTTTTATAAAGAATATCTCTTTGGATTTGAGACTTTAGTCTTTGCAACTTTACAGATCTTCTTTATGCACCAAGAGCTTGTAACACTCCAAAGAGAAAGGAAAAATTTAAATCGCATCATATGACCCCTTTAAAAATGACAAACATATTTACTTGTTCTTTTTCACAGAAAAAAAGAGCTTTTGTCATCATTCAATGTGTATTTTATTTGTTTAGACTTATATTATCATATTTTGTTTCTGGATTAAACGTGTCATCGCAATAACGATCAACTCAAATGTAGGAGCTTCCCAGGTGGATTTGAAGGCAACATAAGCAATTACTGAAAAACAGCAAATTTACACAACTCTATTCACATGATGCAGATGTAACAAACATTCTGTAACAGACCATCTCCCACATTTTAAAAGCTTGCCATTCCCAGATCACTGGGTTTAGCGGTACTTCATAGAATCACTGGGTGCTATTGAAGGGGGTTGTCACTGAAGCACGATTACACTGTGTGCCAACAGATCAAACAAACTGTTAACCAACAGTTAGCTTCACACATAGCTGCTGTTAGATCCTTTGAGAAGGATCTAAATAATCCCCGTTCCATGTTAATGGTTCGAGGTGGCGTGATTTAGTCTCTCAAATGTTCTAGGCTCTAGACCTGTACTCTTTATTGTATGGCTCTCGGGGATGATTCATTCTGATTGGTCAATAGATGACTTTTTTTTTTTTTGTATAATGACCATTAAACTGGATAATTAAGTCCCAGGCAACGTTTTCCTGAAAGAAAAGACTTTGTGGTATCTTTCTCCTAAACCATTTCAACTCAAATCAATATGTCTTGCCTTTTTATTTATTTGCCAAGCTGCCATGTAATGAGAGGAATACTGTAGTTATATCAGTCATTATAGCAAAGCAATCTCTTTCATTTCGATTTGGGAATAGATGGCTTTTTTTCTTAACAAATTTTTTTTTTTTTGTATAATGACCATTAAACTGGATAATTAAGTCCCAGGCAACGTTTTCCTGAAAGAAAAGACTTTGTGGTATCTTTCTCCTAAACCATTTCAACTCAAATCAATATGTCTTGCCTTTTTATTTATTTGCCAAGCTGCCATGTAATGAGAGGAATACTGTAGTTATATCAGTCATTATAGCAAAGCAATCTCTTTTAATATTTTGCAAGAACCCACAGCTAACAGCATATATATTACAGGGTTTCTGCAGGTTTTATAAAGGTAAATATAAGACTTTTTTTTAAGACCAAGTAAAGAGAAATCAAGAAATAAATTGAAAGGAACACAAAACATCAATATGGTCTCTAATTGTAAATGGCTTGTATTAGCAACACTTCAAAGTTTGAAAATACCAAAAGTTGATTTTGAGTACAAATGTCTAAAGATACTTAAATCAACATACATTTACTTTTATTAGACATCAATCAAAATGAAGGAAAAAAAATACTTCATATCTTCAATTTGCATCTGTATCTTGATTTAAGGATATTTATATTGGAACATTTAATGCCTGACTTTATGAATGTAAGACCTTTTTAAGGCCTTAATTCGTGGAAGGGCAAATTAAGACTTTTTAAGACACGCAGGAACCCTACATTAATATGACCAGTTATTTTGTGTATTTTTGCTTTGCCACTGAAAACAGTTCCATAAGAAGCCAAATCAAAACAGTAAAAATCACTCTTGGAAACAATGCTTGTCCAATCAAAATACAGGGCCGGAACTACAATAAGTGTTGCATATTTTGCATCAATGTCTGGCTAACTGTACATTATCCCATAATTAACCTCCATAAATGAACCATTATCACTA